AAATCTGACCGTGCTTTATCCAGTCATATATAATACTATTAATACATTTTAATTAATTTAATTAATTAAATGAAACCAGTATAATTACCAGTTGAGTAGATATTTCATCCGATTGGTAGTCTCAGGAACTTATTTGGATGTCTCTCTGCATGGAGGTTGGAGTCCCCAAACTTCCAATTCCTCTCTCCTCTTTTCCTTTCTCCTTTGCATATCTTGCCTATCCCCCAATCTTCCCTTTGTCCTAACTTTTAAAGGGCCAGACTCTCTGTACGTCATCAGTCGATAACCCAATAGAAGTACTAGAGGTGTGGTTATCTTCCAGATCGTAATTTAGTTATTTGGTCTATAGAGGGCAGTCTTGTCCCACTAAACATACCTATCCAGGAAAGAGTTAACTTTTCCTGGTGGCTATTTTGACGTCATTTTGGCCTATCTTTATGGTGGCCATAACTTACGTATCCTTCACAGATCAAACGGTTTATTTAAGTTTTGTCCAGACTATGTGTCTGGCAATCTGAGTTTTGACCCGTAACTTACAATGGGACCTTATATGTATAGACAGTTAAATTTTATTATTTAATCTTCTCTGTCACAATTGTCTGGGTTTAGATTTGATTATATTCCATTAGCATTTTATCACTTGGTTTGTTTATAGTATGCATTCCTTTAGCTCTGGGAAAGTGGCTAGTCTTACAGAAAGAAATCTTGTGTCTTTTTGTTAACTTGAAATAACAAAATGGAGTCTGGTCTGTTCAGAGTGACTCAGAATATACACTTTTAGTTTCTATCATAGCACAAAATGTCTGCCGATATAAATACCCTGACAGGACTTTTGCTTAGACCGGAACCTAGTGGTCCAAGCGAAATACCTACCAGGACTACACAACGTCCAGGCGGACTGGGGTTCACGATATCTATTGGACGCCATCGACTGGAAATTGGACACGAACATGTTCTCCAGTTTATCGTCTCTCTGGGGCCCTTTTGCTATAGACCTATTGGCATCCCGGCTATTCGCATCCCGGCTCAACACCCAACTCCCAAGGTTCTTCAGCTGGCGGCCGGATCCGGTGGCAGTGGACGCCTTCCTGCAGGACTGGAGTGGAGGTCTTCTATACGCCTTCCCCCCGTTCTCCATGATCCCTCACACCCTTGTTCACCCCTACAGACACCAAGCCAAGCTGGTCCTAGTGACCCCATTCTGGGAAACGCAATCTGTTGCCATCGCAGACTGTTGCCATCCTCCCAGGAACTTCTACAGGAACCCGTTGGGGTGTTGCCTCCCACTCCTGGCGTATTTCAGGGTACCCTGGGAGGTCCAGGGAGTTTCGGACACTACTAGACGCCTGCTGGCGGAGGCATAGGTCAGCTTGGCGAGCTTGGGCTGGCTAGTGCACTGGGGGCTGGACATGCACTGGAATTACTCCTGTCACTCTTGGTACACCTGAAGATTATGTTCTCATTAGCCAGGTATAAAACACTGCCTCTCCCAGAAGGCAGTGTCAGTTCCTTGACTCTGGTTCTGTATTGCTGTTTGTGTTCCAGTGTGCTCCTGTTGATTCCTGACCTTGGCTTGTTACTCCGTATATCCTGACTTCTGGCATCCTCTGACCTTGGCTTTCTTCTCGTTAATCCTGATTTCTGGCACCCTCTGACCTCTGGCTTACCCGCAACGATTCTCCTGCTTTATCCGTTCCTGTACTGCGACTTGGAGAATTATCCTGCACAGCCCCCGTGTACCAACACACAGGCCAGGTGAATTCTTACCTGACCACCTCGGCCTGTGTTTACTTGCAAGGGTGAGCATATATTTCTTCCTGCCGGACTCCCAACTCAGGTAAGCCCTGACATAAGGAACTGACCAATTGGAGTCTGCAGAGATGTGCTCACCCCTGGCCCAGATTGTTTCGGAGCTGCAGCGAGAAATTTTATTTCTTAAAGGTACAGTACACCCATCCCCGGAACCTGCTTATCCAGAACCCTATGTCATACTGCCTGACAGGTTCGACGGTTCCCGTTCCACTTTCTCGATCTTCAAGATCCGAGGCCAATGGTCTGGTATGTCCCACGTGCTTGTGGACCCTCAATTTTGGAACCTAGCAGACCTGTTTAGAAGATCGCTGGTGCTTCGGGGATGGAGGAAGGAAAGGGTTCTGGATTGTAGGTGGCCGGTGTCCATCCACCTGTTGGATGCGCTGTGTGCTGTCCTCTCGTCGGTGTGCTTCTCCCCCTTCGAGGTGCCTTTTCTCTGTGTTTTTATGCCACACTGCGGATAGGAGAGTTGGTGGCTGTGTCGGCTAGGGCCCAGGCATCTCTCCGGAGGGAGGATGTTCGTGTGGGGCATGGTGGAGTGGAGTTGTTCATTCGGAGGTCCAAAACAGATCAGCTAGGACGTGGGAGGTTGGTTAGTATTGCTACTACTGGGGGTAGGTGGTGTACGGTGGCGCTGGTAGGGCAATATTTACGTCTCGCGGGAGTGAACTCTAGCCCCACAGGCTAGAGTTCACTCACCACTAGGACCACCAGGGATGGATAGCAGCAGCAGGATTCCCCCCTTCCAGGCATAAGGTAAGCAGAGAAGGGGGAAATAATCACCCAAGTCACATCAGCCTCACTTACTCACACACACCCTGCACACTTGGCACTCACAGCACCCTCACACATACAAACACTGCACCCCTGACACTCACAGCACCCTCACTCACTCACACACTGCACCCTTGACACTCACAGCACACTCACTCACACACACACTGCACCCCTAACACTGACAGCACACTCACTCGCACACACACTGCACCCCTGACACTGACAGATCCCACACACACACTGCAACCCTGACACTGACAGCACCCACACACACACACACTGCACCCCTGACACTCACAGCACCATCACTCACAAACACTGTACCCCTGACACTCACAGCACCCTCACACACAGCTTCCTCACACGCATATAGCACCCTCACGCAAACACAGCGCCCATCACACACAGCACACACACACTGCACCCTTACCCACATAGACATAGCACCCTCACGCAAACACAGCACCCATCACGCACACACACACACTACACCCCTTACACACACTGCACAATACGCTTTCCTAGCACTTTTGTCTCCTGGTATCCCATCTATGGAGACACCAGAGACAAATTTCAAGCAAACAGTGCAAGCATGTTATTAAATTCGCTTACGCTGTGCTGAACAAATACAGGGTCTTTTTCTCATGCAGAGCTCTGCGCATGATCTACCCTGGAAGAGCATTGAACCAACATGCTCACTTTGTGATGGGGTGTGTGTAGCGGAGAGCTGATATTCCACAGATTTTCTCCACTTAAGATCCCAGTGAGGCTCAGGAACAAGTATTATAAATCCATAAGGCAAGGCTTTCAGCAGGCAAAACAATCCCACATTATCCCAACATTAATCCCAATGACTGGACGACACACAGCATCAGGAGCAGAACTGATCTTTTAATTCACACAACCTCCTTATAAAGCATTCTCCCATGCAAGGGAGGGATTCATCATAATTAAGACAGTAGCCAATAATGTCACAGTTACCTCCCACACATCTCCTCCCCTCAGTGTGACACATGATCCCATTAATCATGCTGTACTTTACCCCGAATTCTGGATGTACCCCAAAACAGCTAGGTACAATGAGCTAAGTTGCACCCCCTGGTAGCCCTGATCTGGGTGACAAACATATCCAAAATTCGCCCAGATCAGACCAGGGGTTCGTGAGTTAGGTGGAAGAGACAATTTGACTGACCGCACACGAGGTGGTTGCCGAAAAGGGTTCCATGGGTTTTGGCCCTGTGGTCAGTCTCCGTTCGGGAGGTAAAATACACATAACTACATGCCATCCACTATTAATCTTGTATTTGCATGAATCCCCTTGTTCGGTATTTTTAACTCACCGAACAGGGGGCTGATTAGCCTCTCCGTTCGGGAGTTATGGAGCTCTGGAGGTCTCAGTGGTGTTCGGGTAATTGAGTGTCCGATTTGAGTTCCAGACACTCGACGCCCAAACATCGCTGAGGGTTCGTGCGTAAGATGGCCGCCGCCACGTGTTCGTATGCCGAACAGTGGCCACCCAAATACATGCATAAAGTACGAATTAACATGCGGTTAGAGGAGTGTGAAGCCTAAAAAGGTGCACACTTCTCTCTGGGGTGGTCTACTGGTTCGGTAGTTTCATTCGTATGGGATACAGATGAAACTACCGAACAATCATACGAATTCTACATACACTTTTAACTGTATAGGAAAATAAACACACGAATTACAGTTTTAACACAGTCGTTTAGGACAGCTGTAATACCATCCACGACAGTGTGCTTGTCATTGGTGATGACAAAACACACCCTATCTGGCCCCGCCCCCTTTTTAGTGGGCTGCTGTAATTAAAAAATGCCCGGGCCGAATTTTCTTCCCAGTCCGGCCCTGCACTATACACACACTGCATACACTATACACACACACTGCATACACTATACACACATATTTTTGACGACACAGGTGAAGGTACATTTTGCTGCCCACCCCTCCAAAAAAAGAATGCATCCTCACATCTGTGTCTCGTAGCCCCCTTTTGAATGTCTTATCCCTTTTGCCCCTTTGTGCCTTACACCCCTATTTAGTGTGTCTCTTATGTATTTCTTACTTCCCTGCCAGCCCCTTTGTGTCTACTCCCCCCACACCCCCCCCCCCAGACTCTATCTAACGCTCTTTCTCCCAAATAGACATAGATACAGGCAAAAAAAATATATGCACAAATACACAAACATGCAGACACACAACCATACAAGTACACAGACAGCTATTCAGGAACACAGCCACAAATATATACAGACAGGTACACTGTCATACAAACAAAGACATACATTCTTATAGACACTGTAACGGATCGCCTGGCACCCCGACTGGGTACCTCCGTTGAAGGATGCTCCTAGCGCTTCCTGAGGACTCCAAGCACTCTGGCAGACACCGCAATCACCGAACCGGAGAAACAAATAAATTCTCCCAAGCATATGAATGCTGTAGACAGTTGAATAGGAACCATACGAATAGGTTTACTCTCCTAGCAGTCAAACTGGAACAGCATACAATAAATCCTTCCCCCAATAATGAGACGACACTTCACTTTGAGGGTTAAAACAGGAACTCCCTGTACTGTCACATACAGTCTCTTTTATTCCCAATCCACAAACATAGTACAGCCCACAGGGCGTTACAAAGCAACCAATCAATCCGTACAATACACCCAGACACTCCCACACAAACACCTCCCCTCTGCCTGTGATATGATTACTGAACACAATGGGTAAACTCATCACTGGCAGAGGAATACAGTTTTTACACAATATTTATAACTTCTAAAATATACATGTCACAAACATAAAGCATACATTTTCATAATCAATGCATTCAGGGGAACAACATATTAAAAAATGGCACAAATCAGACCAGGGGTTCAAAAGTTAAGGGAAAGTCCTTTGTGACTAAATGAAGCATGGCTTTCCGGCCCAAACCAGTTTCAGAGTCTTCTATCCTGAATTGAGAAGTAATTCAATTATCTCCCAGGACAGACACAAGACTCCATTATGCACATGGTGAGCACAAAGCATTAAAATATTATAAAAAACACAAAGTCACATTTTATACATAAAACACAGACATGTCACATAACCCCAGATAGCTGGGATCTGAGCGCACAAAACTACCGAATAGCGCTCAGATCCTATTCACACAGTTCAATTGCCATGGACCCGAATTCTTTAACTACACGAATGGGCTCCATGGCATAGCTATCTGGGTTAATACATTCACATAAAGTCTGGTCCATAGTCCAAAGGCAAGAGGCGGGCAAGCAGCCCCCTCCAAGGACATGTGGCGAGGCCGGTTTCGCCACAGACACAGGAACACACAGATATGTTTGCATGTAGTGTTTGCGTTTGAAAGACCACGACACAATAAAGGGGTCTACATCATATTCCTTCAAAAATATGGTGTCACGTTCTATGCAGACATATCTGGCAATACCCTGCAATGGCAGAAACCTCTGCAACCTTTCACAGCACTACTCCGAAACCATGACATGGCAATCTCTATGGCTCCTTCAGGTCTATAAAGGAGCCATACCCACTCTGTTCACGATCTGGCTGAAGCAACTGCTCTCCTGATCCCCTTTGAACTCCCACGAGATTCGATGTCCCGGCTTGAACCGAATGTGGCAACCACAATGCCACATCAATGAAATCTGGCAACAGTCCCTCCATTCACTCCTCAGAGTACCCTCTTAGAGGACGATGCTGCGACCACGACCTGAGGCTCTATATAACTCTCCAGATCCCAGATTGTTTCTCATAATCTGAGCTTATTCCAGTTAACGGAATGTCTGCTCATTTTTATTTTTCATAGAGCTCTAGTTTATTTACTTTTACACTTACTTGGCATATTACCTGATGAACCGCGAGGGAGTGACACTGTTTAATACCCCTGTACACCCCCCTCCAACTTCTGTACTTGAATAAGCCAGCACGTCACAATGGCTCTAGCCCAGAGGTGTAAAAATGTCGTATCTCTATGCCGTTCATCCTATCTGCCCACATAACAATCTAGAGCCCCAAACAGAGAGGGAGGCATATGTCTAAGCTAGTGACGAATCGTTGTTTTATTTTAATTTTACCTTTTGTTATCGGCCTACACACGTTAGAGCATGCAAACCCCGGCACCCGAAACATCTATTCGTTAAGTGACGGTGTATCTTAAACAGCCCATTTTCTACCACACAATTTTGTTTTAGGCCACACAATGTTTTGACATTAGTTTTTGCTTATGCTTTCTCTCCCCAAAAATACAAAACCTTCAGAACACTGGATAATGTATTACAGCACACTGAATATTGCTTGTTCTAACATTCTCTCAGTCAGATATGCATTCAGTTTGGCTACTCTGGCAATCACTTTCAATTGTCACATTAGTGAATACCCTGGAGGATTAGCTTGTTATTCTTGGCAGGTGGCAAAGTTTGAGCAGCAGATCAGAGGGGAAAAAACATGAAACGAAACTTGACTTTATAAAATAAATGAAACTTAAAAGAGACTGTTTGGATGTTAAAGTAACACTAGGACTTTAACCCTTTCACTGACACACAGACTTTACCCTTTACTTATACAGTTTAGAATTATTGTCTTGTAATTTGGGACTTTAAACATGTAAGTGCCTGACATATCTAACCGTTTGTCTCTAGACCATCTTGCGAAGGCAATGGTGGGGGTTGAATGGTATTTGTCAATGGAAACAGGAGTTGTTGTCTCTTTATAGGAAATTACAATTCATATGTAACATGGGCTTTAAAACATTTCCTGTATACCTACAAGTTCCAGTTTAGATTCCTACGGTGATTAGTGAATCATAACATTGTATATTTTATGAAGAACAAAAGAAAAGGGAAGGGCTGCGCCACAGGTAAACACTAATAGTATAACTTATTTGGCACAAAAGCAGAAATATATCTGGGGCAAAAATCTCACAAAGAAGATTTTTATAATCCAAAGATAAAAAAGTCAGTGCTTGATAGGATGTACTGTCCTCTATTCAGCTTGACCATAGATAATATGGAAGACAAAAGACAGGGATAGGTGATAGTGTAGCTTGTTGAGTGCAGTCTTTTATATAAGGAAAAGGTAACGATGGGACACTCACATTTGGAAGAGCTATAGCCAGCTCTAGCAGTATAGACGTACAGCGGTATATTCCCCGCTTTAAAGGATAAACGGCAGCTGTCAACCACGTTCACGCCAAGATGATATAAAAGAAAGGAAACAGGAACAGGTGATAGTGCAGACTGTATAATTCAATCAGATAAAAGTATAAGATAACGATGGAGCACTTACATTTACAAGAGCTATAGCCAGCTCTAGCAGTATGGGCGTACAGCGGCATAACCCCTACTTTAAAGGATATGCAACAAATGTCCACCATGTCCCCACACTCAGGAAGAAATAAAAAAGGCAACAGATAGTGCTCTCGATAAAATAGAGTATTCTCTAAAAAAATGAAGTAAAATTATACTTTCAAGGATAGTGCAGGCTGACTGCTCTATGAACACAGTGTTGGTGGTATTATCCGTACTTTGGGATTACTTGAAATATAAGACTTAAAATTACCAAGGAAAGTGCATATAACAAAGGAGATTGGCACACAAAGGGGACCAAAAAAACATTAATAAGTTAAAATACACAATATGAAATGTGCATAACGCATTTTACCTTTACAGGCTTTATAAAATGGAGTAAAAACAATCAACCTGGCTTCAGGAGTTTATATAGGGATAAAAATGCCGCAAAAATTAGCATTATGCAATCAGAATTCGACATATTTAAAAACATTTTAAAAGTACATAAAATGTATTAAATTGTATTCTTAGTGTAGTACAGAGGTTAAGTATCATAACATTTGCGGCAGCCATATTGTGAAGGTCAAATTGTGACCGAAAATAGCGGCGACCATGTTGGGGAGGTCCTTATTTGGAAGATAAAGTAGCCGGAAATGACGGCGACCATATTGGGGAGAGCAAGGGGAGATTACAGCTCCATTGGGGGAGTGGTGCAGATAGAGACAATGAATATATTAATATAGGAAATAATTTACATAAATACAAAAAATAAACAGGAATAAATAATAATATAAAAGGTGAGTATTATGATATTAAAATGGATAGAGATAAAATATAAAGCTACTGATATTTATAAAAAATTAAACAGATCAAAGTCTGCATTTAGACCACAAGGGGTTAGAGTTTGCAAATTATATACCCATTACATTTCTGTTTTACCTAAAATATTTTTAATATTTCCTCCTCTCCATGGAATTACCGTATTTATCGGCGTATAACACGCACCGGCATATAACACGCACCTCATTTTAAGAAGGAAATTTCAGGAAAAAAAAACTTAAATTTCAAATAAAGAACTTCTTACCCCCTTCTTACTCCCCCCTCCCCCTCTTCTTACCCCCCTTTCTTACTCCCCCCTCCCCCTCTTCTTACTTCCCCTTCCCCCTCCCCCTCTTACTCCCTTCTTACTCCTCCTCCCCCTCTTCTTACCCCCCTTTCTTACTCACCCCTCCCCTCTTCTTACCCCCCTCCCCCCCTTTTCTTACCCCCTTTCTTACTCCCCCTCCCCTCTTCTTACCCGTCCCTCTTCTTACCCCCTGTGACGAGACCAATCTCGCCACATTGCATTGGAGAAGCCTGGTTGCTCACCTGCTGCCTCTGGACTATGGCCCCCTTTTAAAAGACTTTATTTCGCCTGGAGAAAAGCCGTATTCGTGCTTTTCTGCCAGTTGTTCGGTAGATTCAATCTACCGAACAACCGAACGAATGAATAGACCACCTGGGACCTGGAGTGTGCCGGCAATTAACCTCCCTGAAGCTGCGGTTAACCGCAGTTTAATTGACGAATGCTGGGTGGCCACCATTCGTATCCCGAACACGAGGTCGCGGCCATTTTAAACATACGAATGCACAGCGGTGTTCGCCCCTATTTTCATGGAACTAAAATCGGACACAGTTTTGCGTAGTTTCGGTAGTTTTGGTTGAATGTGTTATACCCCAGATAGGAATCCCATGGAGCCCATTCGTATGAAACTGACTGTAAAGACTTTGGCTCCATGGCGATTAAACTGTATTCGTGTGGTCTGAGTGCCATTCGCTTAATAATGTGCACTCAGACCTGAGCTATCTGGGGATATGTTACATGTCTGTGTTTTATGTAATAAATGTTACTTTATGTATTTTAAAGTATAATACTGGTTTTGTGTCCCCACATGTGTAATGGAGTTTTGCCTTTGTCTTGGGAGATAATTGAGTTACTTCTCAATTATCTCCCAGGGCAGAGGGGAGGAAGCCAGGATGCATTGTGGGAATATACTGTGACTGTGTGTCCTATTTGTCTACTTGTCTGTCCCTTGTCACAGTCTCCCATTTGGTCCCCTAGGGAGTGTCCACCAGGTGGGAGACCTGCATAAATACTAGGCAGGTAGCCCCCATTAAACAGACCACTGCTTGACCCCTCCAACCACCGCAGACCTTGTCACCGTTCTTGGGGGGATTCACTGTATGCTGTTGGGGGCTGATTGCAGGAGTGTAAGCTGATTCTCTGCTTTTCCTGTTCGTCTGCTACTTGG